CTTGAGAGAGGAAGACGTTGGAGTTGGGCTGCTGGTACGTGTCGTCCTGAAGGTGGTCCTGGTAGTGCGGCGAGGGAGGGCCTCCGACGCCCGTGCTGTTGGAGGCCGGGGGCGCGCCGCCCGCCCGACGCGACGCCGCCAGGAGCGGGTGGTGGTGGGAGGGCCCCCGAATAGGGACCTCGGGGGGGGCCGGGTCCGGTGGCGTGCCCGCGGCGTCTGCAACAACAAGAGAAGTTCGTTATAGTTTGTTTCACAGTTTCTTTTAGATCGGATCTGATTCAGCAAATGACACATTGCTCCGAGGGAAAAGCCGCAGGAAGCAGAGCCAAAGCAGCGGTAAGCATCAGAGCGAGGGAAATGAGGCGCTCGCGGGAGAGTGCGCACAGGGAGCCCGTAATTAGCGACGGGGTAATAACACACATAATTAATCACGAGGGCCGTAAATCAACGTGAGAACATGCATCACCGGCAACACGAAATAAAGAGTCGCGAATACACGGGGAAAGCGAACCGCAAAATTGTAATCCTCTACAGTTGCTGTAATCCGCCATGACAAAGTCCGGTCGAGTGTTGTAGAGAAAATCCCGATTATAGCCACGTGATCTGCACATGCCGACTAATCCCGCCGATCTTCGTCCCCGGGGAGCGAGGGGCGGGGAGGGGCGGGGACGAGGGCGCTCCGATCGTGACGTCACCCGAAAAAAAAAAAAAACGCCAGATGCCGCGTGACGTCATCAGCCGTCGGGGGTTTCCGTCCACGCTACGAGCTCTGTCCAGGCTACGTTTTAACACGCTCTCGCAGCTCTCCAGGATGCTCGCGACGCTTCGTACACTATTCCGAAATATGCAAAGTTATCGTCCGCGCTCCACTCTACCCAGACCTCATCAATAGCGTCCAAATGTCGCATAACGTAAGCCCACATTCGCTCGCGTCCTGTGCAATAACGAACACTACAGAACACCCTTAATCAACCCGCAAGAGTACACACATACACACACAGTACATATAGGCTTTCCGGAAGTACCCTCTTGTACAATCCATCCTTTAAACGCCATAACCAAGATGTGCAACCAACGTGAACAACTACTTCGTACCACCAGATAACCGTACGCACTCTACCACATGGATCACAGAGAGCCAAGAAACAAACCGGTTAAATCGTCTTCATAAACAGTATCTGGACCATCAGTGATCCCCCCCCCACAAAAAAAAGACATTAAATAAAGCGAGAGAGGAAAAAAAAATCTAGACAGGACTTATAAGTGGAAAGAAAGTATCAGACTCTCTTTCTCTTTTTCTTTTTTTTGTGCTGATACATTGCAAATGCTATTGATTTTTATGTGTTTATATACTCCCTCATCTTTAAATCCGATCACTTCTTTCCCTGGCAGATGCTACAGGAAATTATAATAGTTTTTTTATTAATAATGCAACAATAAAATCCGCAGGACAATGTCTAAATTCTACACAATAACAACAAAAGCAAATCAACAACAACAACGAAAGCAGCAACAACAACATCAACAACAAAAATAATAACAATGACGATGATTTACGATACAAATTTTATTCTTGAAGAGATAAAAAAAAAAAAAAAATCAAAGATATTATCATCAGAAGTACACAAAAGACAAATACACAATAGCACAATCAGTAAATGCAGAACGGCCACAGTAATCCTAGCCTTAACCCTTTTTCTCCCCCCCCTCCCCCTTCCCCCCCTTCTCTTTTTCCTGCTCTTCCTCTTCCCTCTCCTCTTTCTTCTCCTCTTCCCCCTCCTGCTTCTTCTCCTCTTCCCCCTCCTGCTTCTTCTCCTCTTCCCCCTCCTCCCCTTCTCCTTCCCACTTCCTCTCCTTCTCCTCTTCCCTCTCCTCCTTTTCTCCTCTTCGCCCTCCCCCTTCTTCTCCTCTTCCCCCTCCTCCTCCATCTCCTCTTCCCCCTCCTCCTTCGTCTCTTCATACCCCTCCTCTTCCCTTCCCCCCCCCCTTCTTCTTCTCCCTTCTTCCCCTCCTCCTCTTCTTGCTCCTGCTCCTGCTCCTCCTCCCCCACCCCCCTTTCCTCTTCCCTTCCCTCCCCTCCCTCCTCCTCTTTCTTCTTCCCTTTCTCCTCTCATATCCCCTCTTCCCCTCCCCACTCCCCCCCCCCTCCTTCTCCCCTTCCTCCTCTCAAGCTCTTTTTCGCCTATTCTCTTCCCTTTCCCCTTCTGTTATTATCCTCCTTTCTCCCTTCTTCTCAACTCCTTTCCTCTTCCCCTCTTCGTTGCCCCCCTCTTTTCCATTATTTTTTCCCTCTCTTCCTCCCTCTCCTAATTATCTTTTCTTTCTCCTTTCCACCCTTCCCTTCATTACCACTCCCTTCCCCTATTTCCTTCTTCTTCCCTGTCTCCCTTCTTTACTCCTCCTCCCTTCCCCCTTCCCTTCTCTTTTTTTTCCATTTGCTTTCCAATCCATCCTCCCTCCTTATCCCTCCTTCATTCCTGCTTCTCCCCCACCTCTCTTTCTCACTTCCCTTCCCTCTCCCCTCCTCCCTCCTATCCACGTCCCCCCTCCCCCTCTCGTCCTCTCTCTCCACACCCTCCTCCCCTTCCCCTCTCGTCCTCTCTCCCCCCCCCTCCTCTTCTCGTCATCTCTCTCCCCCCTCCCCCTCTCCTCCTCTCTCTCCCCCCTCCCCCTCTCCTCCTCTCTCTCTCCCCTACCCCCCCTTCTCCTCCTCTCTCTCCCCACTCCCACTCCCCCTCTCCTCCTCTCTCTTCCCCCTCCCCCTCTCCTCCTCTCTCTCCCCCCTCCCCCTCCCCCTCTCCTCCTCTCTCTCCCCACTCCCACTCCCCCTCTCCTCCTCTCTCTCCCCACTCCCACTCCCCCTCTCCTCCTCTCTCTTCCCCCTCCCCCTCCCCCTCTCCTCCTCTCTCTCCCCCCTCCCCCTCTCCTCCTCTCTCTCCCCACTCCCACTCCCCCTCTCCTCCTCTCTCTTCCCCCTCCCCCTCCCCCTCTCCTCCTCTCTCTCCCCCCTCCCCCTCCCCCTCTCCTCCTCTCTCTCCCCACTCCCCCTCCCCCTCTCCTCCTCTCTCTCCCCACTCCCACTCCCCCTCTCCTCCTCTCTCTTCCCCCTCCCCCTCCCCCTTCCCCTCCCCCTCCCCCTCTCCTCCTCTCTCTCCCCACTCCCACTCCCCTTCCCTTCCTCCCTTCTATCCACCCCCCGTCCCTCCCCTTGCCTACTCCCAGTGAACGTGACGAGAAGCGAATAACAATAACACAGGGGACTGCAACCCTTGCATTAAACCGTTCAGTGTTTTTATCTTTTTTTTTTTGTTTGTTTCGTTTCATTCTATATTTTATTTTATTTCTGTTATACATTTTTTTTAACAGAGGGGGGGGGGTGAGGGACGAGGGGATAAAAAAAATTATAATAATAATGAAATAAAAAAAAAATGAGAGGGAATAAGAGGGAGGGGGGGGGCGAAAGGGGTGGGGGAGTGGGGGGGGAAGGGGAGAGTCAACGCTCCAACTAAATAATTTTAAAAGTTAATTACACAGAAGCAACAATTTAATGCATTAAATACGCGCTTCGGTAAATAATGGCATTCGTGTGTAATTCAGCAAATGGACTTTCTGGTCGTGGTGAACGTTATTACGTATAGTTGTTCATTCTGAACTCCAGTTTCGGAATGTATAGCTGTACTTTCTGAACGCACATCATCTGAACACTGGTTATAAATTGCGTGTTATATACAATTGTACATTCTGAACATTAGTTTCCCGTTGCACAGCTGTACCTTCTGAACATTAGTTTTCCGTTGCACAGCTGTACCTTCTGAACAAAGATTATTCCGCTGTATAATCTCAAACACCGGTTATCTGTTGCATATTCTGAACATTCGATATACCCCCTGCCTTCTGAACAATCGTCTTGCATTGTACATTCCACCTGTGTGTTGGCCAGTCATGCATTATACAGTTGTACATTCTAAACATTTGTTCTGTGTAGCCTCGTGCGTGTTGACGCCTTTGAACAAATTCCTATTTGCCGTGTACATTCAGTGAAAATGTACAATAATGATCAATGAAGGTGATGGTGATGGTGATGATGATGATGATGATGATGATGATGATGATGATGATGATGATGATGATGATGTTGATGATGATGATAATGGCAATGATAATGATAGCAATTATCATTACATCAATAAAGTAATAAAAGCTAAAAAAATAACAATCACGTAAATGCATTTACACAACGTCACTTAAACCAACAAACAAAATCACGACAGTAATAACACACACACACACACACACACACACACACACACACACACACACACACACACACACACACACACACACAAAAAAAAAAAAAAAAAAAAAAAAAAAAAAAAAAAAAAAAGACACAAAGACACACACGAGGCGACCGGCGTCCAGCTACGAAAATCAACCCTAATGCTTCCCTTCCCTAAAACACTTTTTTTTCTGAATTCAGAAGGTAACAATTAAAGCAGGAGGTCGAGAAATGACCACGTCCAAGGAAAAGGAAGAAAGATAAGGAAGAAGTAGAAGAAGAAGAATGAGGAAGAATGAGGAAGAAGGGAGAAGAAGCGAGAAGAGGAAGAAGAAAAAGAGGAAGAAAAAGAGGAGGAATAATAATAAGAATGAAGAAGAAGAAAAAGTAGGAGGAAAAAAAGAGGAAGAAGAAGAAGTAGAAGAGGAAGAAGAAGAAGAGGAAGAAGAGGAAGAGGAAGAAGAAGAAGTTCTCCTTCACTCTCCCAGATCACTCTTCCTCCCTCCTTCCTTCCTTCCTTCCTTCCTTCCTCTTCTCTCCCTCCGATCTCTCTTCGCTCTCCAATCCGTCCTCCGTCCCGTGCCCTCTCCTCCCTTTTATCCTTCCCCCTTTTCCCCTCTCTAATCCGTTATCTTCCCCTAACCCCTTTTTCTTCCTCCCTCCCTCATCCCCCTCCCTCCCTCCCTCCTTCTTCTCTAATCCCCAATCTCTCCTTTGACCCCCTCCTCCCTACCCCTTCCCCTTTCCCTCCCCATACCCCTCCTTTAGTCCCTCTATTTCCCCTCTCCCCCCCCCCTGCCTCCTCCATTTCACTTCCCTTCTTCCTTTTCCACTCCCTACTTCCCTCCTCCCTTCCCTTCTCCTTCTCTCCTCCTTTTCCCTCTCCTTCCCTCCTCCCTTTCCCTCCCTCCTTCCGCAGATATCTCCCTCCCTTCCTCTCCCCCTAATCTCCCTCTCTCCCTCCCTCTCCTCCCTTTCCCCTCCCTCCACTCCTTCCCCCCCTCCCCCCTCCCACCTCTCCCTCTCCCTCCCCCCCCATCCCCCTCTCCCACCTCTCCCCCTCCACCCCCGTTTTGATTGACAGGCCGCCGCACGCGATGACTTACCACCGAAGCCTTTTGTAAAACCACGACGCCAATTGGGCCATGGCCTGCGTGTGCATTTAGAACCGATGGACATCTTCACCCGCGGCCATATTTGCTTTGGACTTTCGATGGGGGAATAAACGCTGGTTTGGGGTGGGTGTGAGTGGGGGTGAGGGGTGGTGGGAGTCTGTGGGTGAGTGGGTGAGTGAGTGAGTGTGAGTGTGAGTGTGAGTGTGAGTGTGAGTGTGAG